AACCTCCAGCCGGCGGCGCTCGCGGGGTTAAACCCTGTCGCCCGCCGCCTCCGCCCCGGGCTGGGTCGTCGATCACGTGACGCCAGGTTGCAATTGGAGCCCCGTCAGCTGATCCGACAGTCACAGGATTCTGCCGGAGCGCTCGCTCATTGCCCGGATAAAGGCGCGGGCAGGGGGCGGCTGCCCGATCACTTCGCAGCGCAGCAGCGGCCAGGCTGGGAGCCATGGAACCACGCGCCTCCGCCCTGCTCCTGGCCCTCCTCCTGGGCTCCTGCTCGGCGCTGATCAGGTGGGAGCGGGCGCTGGGGGAGCCTAGGAAACAGCGGGGCTGGGAGCCGGTGGCGACAGCCCCGCAGAGCTGCCCAGGCCTCCTGGGAAACCTACCACTCCCTCGTGAGAAGGCATCCTGCCTGTGCTTGGCCTGGGGCAGGCGGCCTGCGGTAGCTGGGGAGGGTGGGAGGCAAGCAGGGGCTGGGATTCTTCCGAGTGTGGATGGCTGGCTTATGGGAGGTTTGATTTCTCTGCCATCATAAGTGGTGAGGAGGGAGGGTCAGGGGTCAGGACTCCACGAATTGGCTGCAGGCTCAGGTAAAGTCCTACCAGAGCAAAGGGCCAGTCTCCCTGGCTTCTAACCCTTGCTGACGGTGGAAGGGGAAACTAAAGAAGCAAAAGAAAATGATCGGTCGTGAGCTAAAATTTGGTCCTTGGTTATGCACAGATGCCTTTTTCCATGGGTTTCCTCTGGGCGATGCCTTTGGTTGTACACAATCTGGGTGGAGTTTCTCTGATGAGGCATCTGGGTGCCTTTAAATGTCTTGCTCCCTGTTATGCAGAAGTGCATGTAGTGTGCCCCTCTGTGTTGTTACCGGTTCTGTAGCACCTTTCAGCAGGGCCATTGTGCTCAGTGTTCCTGGCCCCCATGGAAGTTGGCTAGAGTTGAGGCTGCACAAGTGAGGAGAATGTGGCCAGAAGGAAGCAAACCTGTCCAGCTCAGTTGGCCGCTTGCTACCAGCAAGTCCTCCACATTCATTTCTGCCTCATTCTAAAGTACATGTGTATTTTGGAGGAGGCCTGTTTTGAGTTAACTTTCAGTTACCTATTCCTGTCTTTTTCAAAGACAAGGGAAGAAAATTCCTGAATGCTAAACCTCAAATCTTGACGATTTCTCAGAAGTTTTATTGACCTTTTACAGGAGCAAAACTTTCTAGGGGCCTGATTGTTAAGAAGAGGTTTGCACTTGACTTCTGCTGGAATTCTGGGTTTTCAGCCCTTCTGGCTATCAGGGCCTGAAGTTCACAGAAGCAAATCTTCTGAAAGATTATTAACATTTGAGGAATTATTTAGTGGTCAGTAGGGGTTTCCCCTCCCTCCACTCCCCACCCCCAATCTTGTTGCTGAAACTGATAGTGAATGTGTCAATTTTAAACAAACAAGCAAAAGCCACCCACCGAGTATCCATTTACTCTGAAACAATGTAGCATTGAATCTGGAGGATTAGTTGGTAGTAAGCAACTGGTGAGCAGAGAGAATGTGTGTTGTGGAAACAACATGCCCTCTTGTTCAAATCTGTTGTTTGATCTGTGATGCAGAAGTGTTCTAGGTGTGTGTAAAATGCTTTGAGATGAGAATAGTAGTGTGTGCACAACACTGGCATGAAGATGACTATGCGAAGTGCAGGAGAGCAGTGAATCTGGCCCCGGGGAGTCAGGAGTCTAGGGAGTGCTAAGCAGGGGCAGTTGTCCTCCAACCTCAGTAGAGTCTTTACAGAGTTCTAAGTAGTGATAAGCAAACCAGCTGTATATTTTCCTTTTCTTGTGTAAGCTAAGCTCAAGCTTTCTGTCAGCACACTGACTTTCTTTAGCTGCATTGAATTGGGGATTTGAACAACTAGTTGACTGTCTGATAAGCAAGTACTTATGGGATAGCTGATAGGCTAGTTGACTAGTTGCTCCTGCCCTCCTCCTTACTGCCTCTATCAGAAAGAGGCAGCAAGGTGGGGGAGGAGAAGGAGATGCTTCAAAGTCACAGCACTTCAGTGGCCAGCTGGCGTGTCCCCAGGCTGCATGCAGAGTTTCAAAACGGCAGTGCCCCTTGGAGCCCAGGATCAGCTGGAGACTCCCCAGCTGATCCCGGGTTCCACACAGCGCTTTCGCCTCTGAAGTGTAGCAACAGCCCAAGAGCTATTGCTGCACTTCAAAGGCAGAGGCGCCCTATTGAATAGTTGATGCAAAATGCATTGACTATTCAATTAATCAGTTACTTGAAATTAACATCCCTACATTGGCTAATGCCAATAACTGACACAGACAGTGCCTTCAGATAAGTGTTAGCTTTCCCCGCAGTCAGTGTGTGGTAAATTGCCTGGTTCTGGAGATTTAAAGCCCCTTGTGTGCATTGGATGTTTATGGACTCTGACCAATTTTCACCAACTGTTTTAACAAAAGTACATTTTTGTTACTGGTCACCAGCAACCAGCACAGCCCTGATGCTTGACAGCTGCTAGGACATGTTCAATTTCCCAGTGTGGCCAGGACCTGAAATACAGAGCCTTGAAGGAAGTTGACCTCATCCTTACAAACAGCAGTGTCCAAGGGGATGGCCTCACTGGAGAGGGGACTGAATGGTTTTGAGCAGGCTGGCTACCACACCTCAAAGGGGCAGGCAACTTTCTTGAGCAGAACCACTGGCACTACAAGTTGCAGAAGATGATTAGAGGAATACGAATACGAGCCCTGAGCATGACAGTGCTTTCCCCATCTGAGTGAAATGGCTGAGGGCCTGGAGTTCAGTGGTGCTGGCAGCTCCCTAGCAGTTAGGGGTCTGCCAGCACCTAATTCTTCTCTTCTGTTGTTGCTAGTCTGAGGAGTTAACTATGGTAGGATCCAATGGCTGGATCAGTAAGGATGATTGATATTGTGGTTCCCTGATTCAGATGAACAGGGAATCCTTTTTCCAAACTGAACAACACTACATGCTACTCCTGCCATCTCCCCAAACGCAGCTTTTACAAGCCCTTCAGAGTGAGACTGGTCTGTTTCCTGTATACCCTGCTAATGGAACACCTGGTCCAAAGCCCACAAAAATCAATGGAAAGCACTCTAGAAAGCAATTTGAAATCCATATGTAAAAAGCACCAAGAGCTACATATTCTCTTATTAAGGATCCAGAAATAAGATCCAAGAGTAAGCTTCAGAAAAACAACGCTTGCCCCGCCTGGGAATTGCACTGTAAACATCACTGTCGTTAGGAGCCAAATTCTCTGCTGATGTAAACGGGCAGATCTGTTCCCTTCCATGGAACTGTGCCATTTTGCACCAGCAGATGTGTCCCCGAAAACCCTACAGGCCCTAGTGTGTGTTTATTTTTAAGCACAGATCAGCAGGTGCTGTCACCCTCGGGAGAGGGGAGGAGGAAGGAAATTCTGTCCCTCAGATCATTAAATATCAGCACGGTTTAGATTTGTGTAAAGTGAGTGCTCCTTGTGCACTGGCAGATTGTTTGTTTGCTTTGTGTGGCCTCCAGCCCCACCTGTGGGGATGGTGGATGCCATCGTGTGGCATTGGCAGGGTTCCTTGCTCTAACTGGCGTTGTGCTTCTCTTTGTTTACCAAACAGAATCCCACTGACCAAGTTCCCCTCAGTTCGCCGCATCCTAAATGAAGCTGGGAGCGAAATCCCCGATCTGAATGCCATGGGCGAACTCCTGAAATACAAGCTGGGTGTTCCTGGCGTAGGGGAGCCCACTCCGGAAACCCTAAAGAACTACATGGATGTAAGTACCACAGCTGATTGTACAGGTTCATTGCTCTGTGGGACATGATGTGGAATTGCAGGGGTTCCCTGGGCCAGGGCCATAAGAGTTCCCATTGACCTGCAAACTTGTCACCTGCACCTCTTCACCACACACAGAGCAGGACAAAGCAGCTGTTGCTTGCCCACAGTGACCACCGACTCATCCTGCTGCAAATCTCAAGTGCCTGGTGCTTGGCTGGGAATACGGAATCACGCTCAGGCCTTCCCCCTTGATATGTCCCTGCCCATGGACATTGTTTGTTTGCAGACTCTACTCCCAAGGAAACTCGCCCTGCCAAAGTTAGGTGTCTCTGTTCTGCAGCAACCCCTTTGCCCTGCCTCAGGTTCTGTCTGCACTGCACTTGAACTTCTCTTTCATAATCTGGTGTAGCCTATTTCCCAATTTTCTGGATCATGGGTGTTTGCTGTAATAAAGGGAAGTGGGGGCATGGGGTCTGGAAGGGAGGGTGGGTGCATGAGGGGGATAAGGGTCAGAGGAGTGGGGTGCGGCACTTACCTGGCACCCCGCTCCCAGGGGCACATGTGGCTCCATGTCCCCCGCTGCTATGGGAGTGGTGGGGAGAGAGCCTCCAGACCAGTATGTCACTGTCCCCCTCCTCTTCTCTCCCAGATGGGAAGCAAAGGGGAACCTCTGTGTGCAGAGCCACTTCCCCTGACAGGGTCTGGACCAAAGGTGTTCCTAGGTCAGGGACAACTGCATTACAGAGTTTTGTTGATAAGGCTGGTGTTGCTGTCCAACAGCTGACAAAACAAAGCACCAGAGGGTGTTCACACTTGCTCCCTCTGACAGATTGTCTATATTAGAGGGCACCATCATCAACAGGGTGAGCAATGCATTGTGGGTATGTATCCCACAGCACAATGTTGAGCTGGTACCTGTGGTGTACTTGAAGTACTGCATAGGATCTTTCGGGGGGGGGGGACACTTATTGGTAATACGTATAGCAATCAACCCTTAACACATGCATATGATATATATCCCCCCCCCCCCACACACACACAGCACACCACATCTTGTTGTTACCAGTCTGTTGCTCCCTCTGATAGCACTGGCCAGGTGAGTTACGTGCAATAGGGGTGGAACCCATCTATCCAGATCCATGTTGACAAGACACAACCCTGGGGTCCTCCTGCAAGATACTTTAGATTTTTATTGTACTTCCCTCCCATGCAAATCTATTTTCATGCATATGCAAAATCTGGGTTATCCTATGTATAGTCAGTTAGTCGTCTATGGCGCCTTCTGGGTGTTGTCTTAATGCTGCCACATTCATCTTCAAAGAGGGGGCTTCCAAAAGCAAGCACTTGCTGCTGACTCCTAAGGCCGTCCACATGTCCAGTCTTCTTTCAATCAACCCACTTAACAGGTCTCATTATCCTTAGATCTGGCTTCTATCCCCTCTCCAACCTTTGCAACTGTCCTGAGGTGCTTGCATTTCATGCCGTATCCATTTGCATCTCATTCATTTAACAGGGCAATCCTTTAAGTAAAAAGGGAAAGATCTATTCTGGTACAAAGATTCTTTTTACCTTATTTTTAGGGACTATTCTACCAAGACCAGTGCTTTTTTGTGACTGTACTGTGCGGTACACAGTACTGGCACCTCCAGATGCAGTACCAGCACCTCCAGTCAGAACTCTTTTCCCCTGGAGTATTGGCACCTTTGTTTGTTTGGTGTGTGGGGGGGGTGTTTTTTGTTTGTTTTTTTTTTTAAGCAGTGACCAAGACTTAATACAAAGTTTCTATGTTCTATATGAAAAATTACCAAGTTAAAAATGTCACTGAGATTATATGAAGATGATCCACACTCATATGAAAACTATTAATACAGAGATGTATCTATACCTGCACATCTTGGGATTCCCTCCAAGGTCTCCCCCAGCCTCCTCGGCTCTTGGGGTAGCATGAAGAGTAGCTCTTTGAGCTCTGCATGCTGAGGAATGTCAAAGCAGCATATCAGTTTCTCCAGCCTCCCCATGCAGCAGCAGTCTGCCTGCTGTTGTGTTCCTAGTCCAGGGCAGAACAAGAGTACTCCAATTCCCCAAATGCATCAGCACACTCAACTGTCAGCTACTTCCTGGAGCTTTGAAAGGAGAGGGGTACAGCCATCAGGGCAGGCATTGTGGGATACTGGAGGAAGTTATTTCTCTGGGCAAAATAAATAAGTGTGTCTACACTGACCCTTTGTCAACAGTAAAGGGAGGGGAAGAGTCTCTCGTAGGTGTGGAAGGCTTTATCACCAAAACTGGGTATTTTTCACGACTAAATTCACACTGCAGAGTGTGCATTCTCATGGTTTTGAGAGTTTAAGGCTTTGTCTACTCTACCAAACTTTGTCACCAAACTTTGCCCATATGTTGATGATTAAAACCTACTTTACAGAGTTGTTGCGGGGATTAGGTAATCTGGACATAAGGGGCTTAACTCCCTTTGAGGATCTGAGCCTTAGGGTACGTCTAGACTACAGGCTTCTGTCGACAGATACTGTCGACAAAACTTCTGTCGACAAAGAGCATCTAGACTACATTGAGTTCTGTTGACAAAGCAAGCTGCTTTGTCGACATGGTAGTGTAGACGCAAAGGACAGTTTACATGCAATAACACCTTCTGTCGACAGAACTCTGTTGACAGAAGGCGTTATGCCTCGTAAAATGAGGTTTACCAGCGTCGACAAAACTGCTGAGTTCTGTCGACGTTATGTCGACAGAACTCAGTGGTAGTGTGCACGCAGGTATAGTTTTGTCGACAAAAGTCCACTTTTGTCGACAAAACCCTGTAGTCTAGACACACCCTTTGTGTCCAGACCTACTTCCACAGAAGTCAATGGCAACACCTCATTTGACCTCAGGGGGAGGAGAAGGCCATGCAATGCAGAATGGAAGAGCTACAGTTTGGAGGATGCGCTACAGCTGTTCAACATTGACAGTTTTAATAAAGCCACTGCCACACCCAAGAGAGCTTTAAACTAGACATTACTGCTTCTGCAACCTATTTCTTCTCAGCCTCATTACTAATTACCCTGACTTTATAATTTGTCAGTAGAAGCTTTTTCCTTTGTACGCAGATATCTCAATTTCTCAGCTGATTTGTGGTTCCACAATCCACTGCCTGTCATGCCCAACAAAGGGTGTAACAAATTGTTGTTTTCACTGAATGCCTCCAGCAGGAGGGAGAGGTAGCTGTTAGTATTACTAGTCCTTGGATTTGTCTACACTTGACATTTAAAGCACAGCTGGGACAGTGCTGTAACATGGCTCTGTGGCCCTAGCAGAGCACTGAGTTCTCTCTGCATTCTGGGTAAACTACTTTCAGACCAGAGTAGTGAACAGTGCCGGAGCACAGTCCACACTACAGTGCTGTAAAGCACCAACTAGCTCTGCTTGGGGTGAGGGGTTTTTCCCCCACCTCCCTGAATGAGACAGTTGCAATGCTGTAACTTGCCAGTGTAGACAAGCCCCTTGTGGCCACTTGACTGGAATTTGAGAGAGCCAAGTATAGAATGCAGAGTTGTTCTGGTTGATCATGATGGGGCAATAGCCACTGGTTGCATATTATCACTTTTGTCCTCACCCTTCATTTCTGGTTTGGAGACAATGTATACCTTCAAGTCAGCAGCACTACTGTGGGTATCCAGATGACCCCCACAATATGCCAGTATTTTTATGGCTGACCTAAAACAATATTTCCTCCGCTCCCATCCCCAAATACTCCTCCTTACCTTACATTAACATCTTTAAGTACAGTGTGGTCACAGCAGGAGCTGCTGGATGATGTGGGGGGTGGGGGAATAAAGGTGGGAAGTGATCTTCCCATCTATAAAATGGATTTCTTTTATAAAGTGCTGTGAGTTCTGTGGTTGAAAAGAATTGTTGCTGCTGTTTAGGGCCCAGATCCAGCAAAGCAAATAAGCACATGCTTTACTTTAAGCTGTTGAGTAGCTCCATTAGAGTTAAACATACGTTTAAAGGACTTGCTGGATCAGAGCCTAAGTCTATAAGAATCACTTAGGTTGATGCTGGGAACCGACTTGTTTGGAAAGTCTGGCCCCAGCTGGGCATGAGCTGTCTGGAAAGTCTGGCTTGCTGAGTGCACTTGAGACTGGGCCTCCAGAAAAACTGCAAGGCAGATAGATGATACATGTGTGCATATATATTGGAAACTGTAGTAATGAGGGTCAAGTGAAAAGGAATTCAGAAAAAAATGTTCCATTTTGCATTAGTCAAACATTGGATATATTTTGGAGTGCAGCGTTCCTTCCATCAAAGCATACGAGCTGGGTTTGCTCCTATCTTTGTTTGTTTGTTTGTCTCCTCACATAATTGCCATTGCACTTTTAGGGTATGTCTACACAGCAACATTACTTCAAAATAACTAATGTTGTTTTGAAATAAACTTAGTCTGTCTACCCAGCAGGCAGTTATTTCGAAATAATGTCAAAATACCGTCAAGCTGGAGGACTTCTTACTCTGACTCCTGTAGTCCTCATTGTACGAGGAGCAAGGGAAGTTGGAGGAAGAGTGCTCTATTTCGAAATAAGTGCCGTGTAGACGCTCCCAATTTTGAAATAAGCTACACTGAGGTGACTGAGAAAATATCCTTCACGCCAAGTACATTTAGAGAGGGAAGATTAGGAGAGTCTTTGTAGTAAATTGTTCCATTAATGAACAAAGTTAGGCAGTTTCCTGAAGATCCATTTTCAACCTCGCTAGGGAACTTTCATGTACCTGGAATGCTGGAGAGGGGTTCAGTTCAACTCCTGTCTGGAGAAACACATGGTAGGCGTTAGCAATGGATCAGATCTCCTCTATGTTGCACATAAAGCTGTGGGAATTGGTAGCGCAAGAACGGTCTGGCTAACTGCAGTGTCGTATTGTAACAGTGTCTGTGAATTCTGCCATGGTGTACATCTTGAGGGTTCTAATCTGTAGAACCCACTTCAAAAGGAAATGTCCCCTCTT